AGCTACCAGTATAAGCACTCAACAAATAGAATATGCAGGAGATTATTATTAGGAAACAAGCAACAGCTAGTTGATTTGAACTACATAGCTGCACTCTAGCGCGTTTTTGTGACTTATTTTGTGGCAGCAGCCAGTAGTTTTTCTTGAACGATCCTCCCTAATTTCAAGTTGTTTCAGAGGTTATCTGATGTCAATGCTGAGAATGATCTGTTTCAGGAACTGTATATCGGACTGGGTTTACACTGTGGCGGTGTTTCTCAACTACTTTTGCTCAGCTCTTAATCCGCTATTGTATGCTTTGTCTAGTCCACGTATTCGGGTTCTAATTACGTCAAAACTCACGATGCTCGGCTGTTCAACTTCTAGACGATCTGGAACTTTTGATCTCTAAAACACAACGTAGCTTTCACTTGTGTGCATGTACAGGTCACATAATACAGGGTTAACGTAGTGACCGAATGTCCGATCTCTGTACAAACGCTTTCCCTTTCATATTTGTCACATTTCCCAAAGCGATTAATTTTTTGAGTCGCCCAATATCGCATGTCAAATGTAAGTACGATTTCTCAAATTGATGTGATCTTTCAAAGCCGGATACTACAGCTTTCATTGAATATTCACTGTTTTAGTTGTGCTTTTACTGCATCGACCAAAAGCTCGGAAGAGCTGCTTATTACTGTACAAATAAAGTAAATGTCAAAATAAATTATGTCACAAGAACGAGTCATTGCTCCTACTGAAGCAGTTTTGTCCGATTCTTCAACGTACAATATAACTACAATGAGCCGCTACAGGCAGGAGTGCAAACTAGAAGAGGTGATAAAAAGAGTTATGCGTCAGAAGCTGGAAACATTAACTTCTGACACGACTCCTTCCTAAGCACGCGTGTATTCCCACGCACTACCAACTCTTGAAAACCCACAAGTTGGCAGCTTCTGAAGGACGTGTCACGATCGAACCGAAAACAGCGCCATCAAGACCAGGCCGATCGTTTCGTCATGCGGAGGCCCAACGGATGCGATAAATTGGTTCCTTCAGCATGTATTATCACCATTGCTCGAATACATACCGGCTCATTTGAAGAATGCGGAACATTTCCTACGTTGCCTACGCGAGAGGACCATTCCAAACGTTTCAAGGATATCGTACCAAAGTTTCGATGTGTCTGCTCTTTATACGAATGTAGACACGAGAATAGCAATTCGAAGCGTGCATTCAACTTCTATTACAACAACACCAACATCGTTGTCAACTTTACGGATTGTCCATTCATGATGTCGAAGAGCTGGTAAATGTTGTTGCATTCAACATGTTCCGTTTTCGAAACAACATTTACATGCAAACAAGAGGATTAGCAATGGGCAGCCGCATAGCACCGCTTCTTGCTATCATATTCATGGATCGTTTGGAAAGACGTTCTTTGACTTCAGGGTTGCTGTTCTACGGCCGCTATGTGGATGATATTTTCGATACGTCGGAAGTCGAGAACAGCATTGCGTCAGACGTTCATGAAGCTGAACTCAGCACACGCCAACATCACGCTGACTGCTGAGGATCCTGAACAAGACGGTTTCCTGCCATTCTTGAACACCAAAGTGAAACTGTCAGAAGGCCAAGTGCTTTCTATGTGGCACAAGAAGACCGCTTCGAAGAACATCCTAATACACTCGAGAAGCTGCCACCCTCTTTTCATGAAGAGGAATGTAGTTCAGAATTTGGCAACAGTTCGCAAAGTGACGTCGACAAATGCTCCCGAAGTTATGAATAAGGTGACACGCATTCTTTTCGAGAACGGATACGGATGCAGACGTGTGAATTGTTGGCGCCCATTTCAAGCACTGGGAGGCACCCCCTGATACTACCGTACCTCTCCGAATCCTTCGCTAAGGATGTAAACCATGTGATCAAGAGGTCTGGGATGCCAATTCGCTTGATATTCCGACCGCCGCCAACACTGCGCCGTCTGCTCACTTCGTCTCGACCGTATGAAAATGAGTGTGGTCGCATAAACTGCTGTCAACCAGAGCGGAAATATGCTTTCTAAAGAACACCGTTTACGAAGTAGAGTGTGCGTCATGCTCAGAGTTTTACGTTGGAGAAAGTGGACGCCCTCTCTACAAAAGGCTTGACGAACATCTAAGGGCTCTCCGGAATCCAAGCAGCTATCCGGACAACCCTTTTCGAAACACCGCTCCTTGCGCCACACGCGTGAACGTGCACCCGAAATCAAGGTCCGCGTGATATATAAGAATGTGAGTGATCCGGTGGAAAGGAAAATAAAAGAGGCGCTTGAAATACGGAGGAAGTCCTCCAATCAACAATAGGGAAGAACTCCGAAATACCATGGAAATCATCGCTGTGCAATGACTGTTGAGATGGAGCTACGTGACGGATGGTAAATGAAGAGTATCGACTGCTTAACATCTTTACCATGATCACCCTCTATCTGGCTGCTCTATTTTTCCCGTGTGAGTAGCAGGAGAGGTTGGTCCCCCTTCACGTTTCCTCCCCATCTCTATCCCATCATTACAGCGATTCACGAACTCAGCGGAATCAATCCGCTTCCCTCAACCCGGATTTCCCCCTTTTTGTAATTGGTTAGTTGACTTCGTATATCATGTTGTAAATGATTCACTCTTTTATGTAAGAACGTAATGTATGGATGATGTTATAGACCTGAAGAAGGGCTTACGGCCCGAAACGTCGTCAAATAAAGCCTTTTGGAAGAGTTTCATTTCAATCAACAACAAAGAAGTCTAGTGAAAGCAAGTGAAGCTCAGGAACCCTATGATCTTAACAAAATAGAGTGTTGAAATGGGAGTTACATCCACAGCAATACTCGGAAAGCTTCGACGAGACATGTTTTTATGGTGAGGTCGAGTTTGGAAGGCAAGCTAAGATATTCAACAGCTTTATACAATATTCAATACAATCAAGTTGGAGCCTTACAGTGTCAGCTCACGCACACCAATGAGTATTGTTATTGTAATTGCTCACAACTACATACTCTCCTTCTAAAGGGTGTTCCATAAATACTGCAACACATTTTGAGCTTCAATTATGTGGGTGTCTGTAGTCTTTTCCCAAGGTTGGCATACCTTCACTTCCTATAACCTCTTGTGAATAACCTTGCCGAAGTGCACGGCTTACCATTCGTTGTACATCTCATGGTGCACTAAACCTCAGTAAAGGTTCTAATCCTTCAACCCTTGGAGTACGACTTTTTCAAAAACAGGTTATCGATGTGTTTTGTGTAGTAACAGTCGCTCCTAGCAACAACTAATCATCTGTAGAAATTTGGCTGACGCGCGCTGGGTTTGAGCTGGGATTCGATCCAGGGACCATATGTTGCAGTGGCCCCACCTGTCACCACACCGGCTTTGCTCGAATGAGTATTATTGAATTATAAATTGGCAATTTAATTGCCATGCAAAAAATACACATTTCTTAATTCATTTGTAGAAGAAGCTAAGAGCCGGTTGGGAAGGCACTGAAGAATTGCAAGACGCACTTTGTAGAAGCCCTGCTCCACTGCCTACAGTGCGCCCAACGGCTGTCTCTGCGAGTTTTCGTTGAATTTTATGCTCGCATGCTAAATAAGAAATAGAAGAAGAAGATCGGTCGAAAGGCTGGACAGCAATCAAGCTACTTTT